TGGCTCAAGCGGTAGCACGCTCACCTGGCATGTGCACAGCGCTGGGTTCAATCCTCAGCACCGCATACAAATAACGATGTTGTGTCTGCCAAAAACTAAACAATAAATATTAAAAAATTCTCTCTTTCTCTTTAAAAAAAAAAAAAGAATGCTGAGTGAAAGATGTCAGACAGAGGGTACAAACTATATGATTTAATTGATATAAAATTCTGCAAAATACACTTAGGGATAGGGAGTGTGTCCATTAAGGCAGGACCAGAGGGAGGAACTCCAGAGGGGCCTGAGGTAACTTTGGGGGAAGTTTGTTCACTATTTTGTTTATGGTGATTTTTTTTTTTGACGGGAGTTTATTTATTTATTCATCCATTCATACACTGATATCCGTCTTTTCACAGGTATTATTGGTTTCCAAGTTCATTTTCTTTTATTAAAATATTTTTTTTAGTTGTAGTTGGACACAATACCCTCATTTCACTTATTTATTTTTATGTAGTACTGAGGATTGAACCTAGATCTCGCACGTGCAAAGCGATCGTTCTACCGCTGAGCCACAACCCCAGCCCTAAAATATCTTTATATTTTGAGTAGAAAGACATTATTTGGAAGATTCACCTGCATTAGGGAAACTTAATTTTTAGCCATATAAAAAATATCAGATGAATTGGATAATTGAATGAGGGGGATATGTCCAAGGAGCATCCATTATAACTCTGCTGAGATGGGACCTGGCCTGCCCATTGGCCTGGCAGAAGCCCTGACTGGGATGTGGGATACACTGCCAGTGTCTGTGGTGATTTTAAAGTTACATATATATGTGACACAAATTTTACATTTGCTATATGCTGCCTACATCCAGTTTTACTTCAGTAAAGCTATTTTTATTTATTTATTTTTTATTAATTTTTTTTATGGTGCTGGGGATTGAATCCAGGGCCTTGTGCATGTGAAGCAAACACTTTACCAACTGAGCTATATCCCCAGCCCCCCGTAAAGCTATTTTTATTGTGGAAATAAACAAGGACTTCCCAGATGAGAATAGGCAAAGGCCATTTGGAGCAAGAGAATCACCTGCCATCACTTGTATTTGGGTAGACAGAGGAACAGGAAAGGTTCATAGTAGAAAAGAGGGAAGGCTTTAGGTGTGCCTTGCCTGAAGGCATTTGGCATGGGGAAGCTGCAAGGGGGTCAACTAGAAGTAAGGCATCCTGTGTCACTGGTTAGGGGTGCACATTTGGCTTTCTCTGGTTAGTCCTAAATTGGAAATGGGACAAAAATTAGGGCATTAATCTAGTCCTGGCTGTTTGGGGGCTAATTGTAATAGTGGTTATTATTAGGCTACCTTAATGTATTGTGAGAGATAATCTGATTTCTAGATTGGTTACTGCAGATAGTAGGCTGACTTTCTGGCCTAGCTACTGAAGTTATTAGGCTGGTTTAATGGTCTGGTTGCTGCAGGTGTGGACCGAGTTTTTACATTTATAGACCAGCTTTTGTAAATTGGTATATCCATCAGAAACATACCAACCATCAGATTCCATAACAATGGCAAGCCACATCTGGGGAAGATATGTATCCAACAAAATACTTATATCTAGAATATATTTTTGAAACTCCACTAAGAAAAATCCAATATAAAATGGGCAACAAGCTTGAACTAGCCCTTTAAAAAAGATGGTGTCTAAACAGCTCATCAGCATGTAAAAGAATACTAATAATTTTGAGACAGGGTCTAGCTAATTAGGGAAATGCAGATTAGGTGGGGTAATACTGTAGCCTTGTTACAATGGCTAAAGTTTAAAATTTAGCAGTACTGAGTGGTGGTGTAGATTTGAAGCAAATGGAACTGTCATACCCTTCTGGTATGATTTAAATTTGTATAGATGCAGCATAAGTGTTTGGCAGTGTCTATTAAAACTGAACATAGAGAGGCTGGGAATGGAGCTCAGTAGTAGAGCTCTTGTTTAGCATTTGCAATGTCCTGGATTTAGATTATCAGCACCACAAGAAAAACAAAACAAAAAACTAAATATAGATACTCTCGGTGGCCCAGCATTAACACCCTTGGCTTCACCTCTGATAGCAATGAATGTTTAGACACACACAAGAATAAAATAATTAAAAATAGGAAACAATCCAAGTGTTTATCAAAAGTAGAATTCTATTTATTTATTTTGGTTCCAGGGATTGAACTCAGGGTCTCTTTACCACTGAGCTACATCCCTAGTACTTTTTGGTTTTTATTTTGAAACAGGGTCTGGCTAAGTTGCTGAGGGGCTCACCAAATTGCTGCACTAACCTGTAATTTGTGATCTTTCCAAATCCAAACTAGCCTCAGCAATTTAATGGATCTATTCCTTGTCCTCCCATATCACTAGGAATACTGGTGTGGACCACCACACCCGGCTCCAGTTTACTTTATTTTTTCTTGGGGGATTGAATCTAGGATCTCTTGCTTGCTGAGTATGTACTCTATCACTGAGCTAGACTCCCAGCTCCAGTAGAATTTATCTTAGAACTCGTGCTGTATTTATTTATTTATTATTTATTGATGGACCTTTATTTATATGCGGTACTGAGAATCGAACCCAGTGCCTCACACATGCTAGGCAAGCGCTCTACCACTGAGCCACAATCCCAGCCCCCACTTGTGCTGTATTTATGAAATAAAGTATTATATAGGAAGGAAAAGGAATAAAGTACTGCTATATGTAGCAATACAGATGAGTCTTTTGGACATAATATTGAGTAAAAGACACTTGATATTATTTAATTATAAGAAATTTAACAGGATTGTTTGTTGATTTGGCTCAGTAGTAAGGTGCTTACTCATTATACACAAGGCTTGGAGTTCAATCCCCAGCACTGCAAGGGAAAACAAAATTAAACAAAAGTAGAATTAGCTTATGGTACAGTAAAGGTCAGAGTAATGATTACCTTTTGTTGTCTTTATTATCTGGGGTGGAGGTGGGTACAAGGAAGCCTTCTGGAATATCGACCTGTAACTTGATCTGGATTGTGGTTATGCAGGCATAACATGTAAAGATGCTTGTTAAGGGCTGGGCTATAGCTCATTGGTGGAGCATTTGCCTAGCACGTGTGAGGCACTAGGTTCAGTTTTCAGCACCATATAAGAATAAATAAGATAAAGGTATTGTGTCCATTTACAACTAAAACTATTTTAAAAAGGTATTTGTTAAGTTTTCGATCCAAGATTTGTGCAATTCACTACTGTAAGTTGTTTCTCAATACATTTCTTTCTTCCTTTCTTTTTTTTTTTTTTTTTATTGGGAATTGAACCCACAGGGGGGGCTTTTAACCACTAAGCCACATCCCTAGCCCTTTTTAAAAAAAAAAATATACTTTAGTTTGAAATAGGGTCTCACTGAGTTGCTTAGGGCCTTGCTAAATTGCTGAGGCTGGCTTTGAACTCGATCCTCCTGCCTCAGCCTCCTGAGCCATGGGATTACAGGTGTATGCCAGTGCGCCTGGCTAATACGCTACTTTTTAACTCGTACTCATTATTTTCTGTTTCATCTCTCTCCTTTTATTTACTCCTTCCCTTCAATCCCATTCCCCTCTGGCTTTCCTATTCTGTTGTTAAATGAAACTTATTATCTCACTTTTAAGTTATTCTTGTTTAAAACCCTGGCACTGGGCTGCAGTTGTGGCTCAGTTGCCTCAGCATGTGTGAGGCACGAGGCTTGATCCTCAGCACCACATAAGAATACATAAATAAAGGCAACTACAACTAAAAAATAAATATTTAAAAATAAATTTAAAAAATAAACAAAGTAAAGTTATTGAAATAAATAAATAAATAAACCTTGGCACCCCATGTCCCCTTTTTGCAATCAGTCTTTAAATCCTATCAGCACTTACTTCAAAATCACTCCTATCTGTACTGTTTTCAAAGCTTGCTTGTACTAGAATTTTAACTGTGACAGTCCTGAATTATTGCTCAGGGCCTGCCTTTCTACAGTGCTGTTCTGTGGAGATGACCACACCTCTCACAGCCTTGAGTGGGATTCATCTCTAGCCTTCTAGATGTAGACCAGACTCCAGCATCACATTCAGGACTCTGGTGTGGTGCCAACAACTGTATCACTTCCTCAGACACTGGCAGTCTTTGGAAAATTGGAGCACTTAGTACTTCAAAACCCATTTGGCTTTCTGTTACTTTGACCTCTTTTGTTCATGTTCTTCGTTCCCTAAGTGCCTTCTTCCTCATCATTACCTCATTACCATTATAACCAGGGGGTTGTTTATAATGTGCTTCGTGAAATCCACGAATCCCCATTAAATTATCTATAAGTATTCCCATATGTGCATTTTCTGGAGCAAGGGCTTTTTTGGCCATCATATTCTCAGAAAGGGTCTGTAACCCCAAAAAGTTAGTTTGATTTAATGGCCTTCTAAAGTGAAGTAAATTTAATTCATTTTGTGTTGCTTTAGCAAAGTTTTTATCTCATTAAAACTTAGTCCTAAAACCAAGGTGGGGGCTGCACACCTGAAATCCTAGCAACTCAGGAAGCTGAAGTAAGAGATTAACAAATTCCAGGCCAGCCTGGGCAGCATAGCGAGACCCTGTGACACCAAGGACCAGGGATGTAGTTCAATAGTAGAGCATTTGCAAAGTACACACAAGATCCTGGGTTTAATCCCCAGTGCCATCAAACAAGCAACTTAGTTATGAATACACTGAGTAATAAAGCATTTTAGAAAAGTTATGTGAAGTGCAGAGTTTCAAAATCAGGTAAAATGTCCTTATTATTTTATGTTCCTCAATATATTTCTTTGTGTGGAATTTAGTTTCTCAAGAGACAGTATCTTAATATTTTCCATTGTGGATCTTAGTTAAAGGAAATTTTCCCCTCCCAATTCCACATGACTGTTGTACAGAGAATAGACTACTATATCGGTGTGCGTTGATGTAACAATCCCTTTTTAAAGGTATTGGTCATGTTTTCATCACTTCTTTTTTTCTTTTTCTTCTGTTATAGATTCCTATAGGCAATGGAAACTGATCTCAATTCCCAGGACAGAAAGGACCTGGACAAGTTCATTAAATTTTTTGCCCTCAAGGTAATACGTCTATACTCTAGAGCTGAGAACTGTTAGAAATAACTTCCATGCTCCTCCCTTTAGAGAATCCTCTTTAGAAATATAGCATAACAGCTTGCAGCTTGCCCATTTTAAGGGATACTTCTGTCTGTTGTAAACCAAACTGTGAAGTATGGGGGTGGTATTGGGGGTGTAACCAAAAAGTAGCTTCCAATTTTCCACAGCTACTTGTTCAAAAAAATTTTTTTGCGAAGCTGTTTGAAGAAATGTCAAACTGTTATGCCAGGTTATTGGCACAATATGTTCCCTTGGGATGGGAACAAAGGCTAAACTGGAATGGGCAGCATTTGGGACGTCTTTCCCTAAGTTTCACTAATACAGAAGTGTCCAACTTTATTTATTGATCCCTTCTTGATAAATAGAGAATCAGAAATGGATTTTGAATGCTATATTTTTCCTGAATCCAAAAAATCACTTCCACCTGTATCACCCCTTCCTTGCAACAATAGCCATGCCAGAAAAATCCATGCTGTCGATTTTGGATGTAAAATTATACGGAAGATGTATGCCATATGGGCTAAGTGATATGAATAATTGTGGAATTCTTGCTTTAAATCTACTATGATGACATAAGTTTGGTACCGTGAATATTTAAATCCCCAGTTGGACTTATTTATGAATATGAACGTCATAGCCACCACATGTAGCACTCCTTCTGCCATGTGAGATGTTACATAGATCAAGCCTCGAGCTCTAATGCCTATTATTGGTTGGCACTCTTTCCTCAGGAATGTTTATAATATTGTTTTTGTGTTTATTTTTATTTCTGCTGTTAGGATTCTATTTTTTCCTGAAGTATATAGTTATCAATTGCTGATTAATAGGCATCTCTTTATCTGTGCATTGGTAGGGTTTTAACCCTGATTAAGGAAACAGTCCATTTAATACTCTTCCTTTTTTGTTTGTTTTTCTTTTCAGACAGTTCAAGTGATTGTCCAGGCGCGACTTGGTGAAAAGATTTGCACTCGTTCATCTTCTTCCCCAACGGGTTCAGATTGGGTAAAATTTCTTCTTTGGGGGAATTTATACTATGGTTTTTGTCAGAAGGAATGAATGTAAACTTCTCAAGTACAGTAATAAGGCATGCTGTTTATAGTATTACTAAACCATACCATTAAAATATCTAGTTCCATTTGATGTATTCACATTCCTTATTGAAATTAGTCCTGAATTTATTTGGTTCTTGACTTTCTGCTTTCGGAGATGAAAGGCTTAGTCCTTAGAAGATAAAAATTATGGCTGTTACCTAATCCTTGTAATAGGTAACTAACCTTTTCAACCTGAGATCTGGGGCTTTGATGCCAGCTGTGCCTTATGGGGAAGGGAGAAGTGCATGTATGTTTCCCATAATCAGCCCAAGCAATATCTGCATGACCGGCACGCTGCTTTGTATTCCTCCAGTGCTCCTCCATAGTGCTTCACACAATAGTCCCTTTTGTCTTCTAGTTCAATTTAGCAATCAAAGACATCCCGGAGGTTACACATGAGGCCAAGAAGGCACTGGCAGGGCAGCTGCCCGCCGTGGGGCGGTCCATGTGTGTGGAGATCTCACTCAAGACTTCTGAGGTAAGTAAGGCAGTGGCTGCGATGGGGTCTTCACGCCGCACTCAAGGCTCCCCACCCTCTGGTTCCAATTCATTTCTCAACTTATTCCTGTACCTTTCCTCTCCGAACTTCTCATCATTTTCCTAAGGGGCCTTATTGGAGACTCGTTTGTTTTGCAGTGCTGGGGACAGAGCCCAGGGCCTCACATATGTTAGCCAAGTGCTCTACCATGGAACTACCTCACAACCCTCAGTCCAAGGGTTGTGATTTTTGTACTTATTATTCCAGCAATATGGAGCAGACTCTTTGTTGCCCTCTTCTTCATATGACATTTCTACTCATCCTTCAACTGACATGCTCTAGAAAATTTCCCTTTTGAGGGCTGGGGTTGTGGCTCAGTGGTAGAGAGTTTGCCTAGCATGCACGAGGCATTGGATTTGATCCTCAGCACCACATAATTGTAAGATAGGGATATTGTGTCCACCTAAAACTAAAGAATGAATATTAAAAAAAAATTTAAAAAAGAAAAGAAAATCTCCCTTTTGGGGGAGAGGTAACTGCTCTCCTTAGACTTCCTATGGTACTTTGTTTATATTTGGTTCCAATATAATTTGCTATATTGTGAGTTTTAAAAATTGTCTTTGTTGGGCTGGGGTTGTGACTCAAAGTAGAGCGCTCGCCCAACACGTGTGAGGCCCTGGGCTCGATCTCAGCACTACATAAAAATAAATAAAATAAAGATATTGTGTCCAACTACAACTAAAAAAATAAATATTTTTAAAAAATTGTCTTTGTTCACCCTAATCCATTATAGGATTGAGGCAAATATCGTTTTCATGAGTGTTTTTTGCTTTTGTTTGTTTGGTGGTGCTGGGGATTGAACCCAGGGCCTCATGCACGTGAGGCAAGTGCTCTACCACAGAGCCACATCCCCAGCTCTTTTTGAGACAGAGTTTTGCCAAGTTGCCATCCTCCTGCCTCAGCCTTCCTACTTGCTAGAATTATAGGCATGCGTCATCTTGCCTGGCTATTCTAGCATGTTTATTAATGTATTTCCACTAGTAGATTATGAAGCTTTATGATATAATAAAAGGCAAATGGAGTTTGGAGCTGTTCATAGATAAGTTTAGTTCCCAGCTGAGCGAATTTTGCTAGTTTACTTAACCCTGCCCTCATAAACACCACCAAAGTAACACTGCACTTCACAGTCTTGCAGGGCTATAATATTTTTTTCATTGAATCCTTAGTTTTAAACTGTTTCCCTTGACATATAATAGGAATCAACACATGTTCCTGTTGCTCATGTTCTAACCACTCTTATTCTTAAGATCAATAGCTATGCCATTCATATATCCTTATGTTTTTGAGATTTTTATGAAATGAGGCAGAATATAAATAATCACTTGTGTCCTCAGGACCAAGCATAGTGTCTGGGACAGCATGTAGTCAGCTTTCAAGATTTGTGGTGGTGGGGGGGTACTGGGGACTGAACACAGGGCCTTAGGTATGATAATCAAATATTCTAACACTGGGCTGCTACCCCAGCCCTAAGAACTTTTTTTTCCCTTACTTTTGGTACCAGGATTGAACCCAGGGGCACTTAACCACCAAGTCACATTCCCAGCCCTTTTTACTTTTATTTTGAGATAAGATGTCACCAAGTTAGTTAGGGCTTCGCTAAATTGCTGAGGCTGGCCTCAAACTTGTGATCCTCTTGCCCAAGCCTCCTCAGTTGCTGGGACTACAGGGGTGTGTCAACACGCTGTGTGTTAGTTTTTCTGAAGGGTGGTTTGGAAATACATCAAAAGTCTTAACTAAGGGTAGTAGCACTCTCCTGATAACCCAGGAGAGTGAGGCAGGATGAAGCTGAGCAGGATGATGGCAAATTTGAGACCAGCCTCAGCATTTTAGTAAGACCCTGTCTGAAAATAAAAAAAATAAATAAATGGGGCTGGGATGGTAGCTCAGGACTGGTACTGAGTTTAATGCCCAGAACCCCCCCCCCAAAAAAAAAAAAAAATACAAGTGATAAAATAGTGTGTATAGGGCTGGGGTTATGGCTCAGTGGTGGAGCGCTTGCCTAGCACATGTGAGGCACTGGGTTTGATCCTCAGTACCTCATAAAAAATAAATAAATAAAAATAAAGTTATTATGTCCAACTATGACTAAATTTAAAAAAATATAGTATACATAAATGTGATCCAACTTTTTAGAAAAGCAACTGGTTATATAGGTTGACATTTGTTTTTATTTTCCTTTTTGCTTCTGTCTACCTTCCAATATTTTTATTGGGCTATGTTGTGCTTTATAATTTAAAAATGAGATAATTTTTTAAAAACTGAAATGTTTTTTAATTGTCCCATCCACAGGGAGATTCCATGGAGCTGGAAATTTGGTGTCTTGAAATGAATGAAAAGTAAGTACTCTGTCTCAGGATCCGCGGCTGATAGCTGAGAATAGAGCAGATGATGACATCATGTGAAAGCAGGCCTTTGTGTTCAGAGGCACGGGGCCCATTTTGACCACTGAGCAGAGCCAATGGGTCTTTGCTACAATTTGCTTCATGCTTGGCTTCCAGCCTAGGCACAGAGATGACCTTCAGAGGAAGTGTCAGTTCAGAGAGCCTCACACACCACAGAGAAGGGAGCAGCAGAGAAACTGAAAAGGATTTTTTGTTTTCCCAGAGTACAGCAAGTTCTCTGATTAAATCCCTCGCGAGCTCGTGGAACATGACTGCTCTGTTTTGTCCATTTTCTGTGTGGCAGTTGTCCAGGAAGGTCTCCCTGCACTGCTCTTTCATACACTGTGCTGGTCATGGATTGGAAATGCATGTTATCTCCTTCCCCCGATTTCTTTCTTTTAAGGCAAATTAGTTTACCTCCTGCCTGAGGCTTCAGTTTTCAAGAAGTGTATACAGGAAGTCTTGAGGAAATATCAACCCATCAAAAGAAAAATCTCAGTGATAAGCATGTGTGGCAGGGGCATCATTATTATTATTTTTAACAGAAGGCAGTTCAGTTGCCATGTTATGGTCCAAAATTTTAGCGCCAGACTGACTTCTTCATATTTTTTTTGTATAGTTAGACAGCTCAAGTGTGCTGCTTTATTTCTTAGATAGCCGCTTCCAAACTAGAAAAAACATATAAAGTATTTTTTGGTGCTCATCTGCTGTGTCTCATATTAAAGAAAGTCAACCTGGCTGACTTAGACAATCTGCTGATCAAGAACTCAAATCAGACCTTTAGTGAAGAACATGTTTAATAATGAATTGGCACGGTTCCAGCATTTAATAAATGTCTGTGTGCTCCTCAGGTGTGATAAAGAAATCAAAGTTTCCTACACAGTGTACAACAGGCTGTCACTGCTGCTGAAGTCCCTTCTTGCTATAACTAGGGTGACACCCGCTTACAGACTCTCCCGAAAACAAGGGCATGAGTATGTCATATTGTACAGGTAAGCAGCATGGAAGCTCATCCTGATTTGGAGAAGGTGGTTGGTTGGATTATTGATAGTGTAACTTCTGTGTGATCACTCTTCAGCCTTCCTTAAGAACCTCAGTGTTCCAGAAACACCAGATTCACTGCCCTTTTGTTTCTGCATAGTCATCATTTTGCCTCAAAGCTGGGAAAGAAGCTGAAGACTGAAAAACAGGCTAGGCTCTCCTGGGAAGATGCCACAGCCGCCTTGATTCCAGAGCTGACTTCAGACATGTGGTCTAAGGAGCTGCTAATTTAACTGAAGTGTTCAAACTAGTTGTCTATGGAAGTAATGCTATGGTATTTTCCTTGCAGGATTTCACCTCCACACTGCATCGAGGGCCATTTTAGTCCTGGCATTATGCAACTGTATCTTGGCCTTGCACTCGTGTTTCTAATCAAATGGGGAAAGTTTGATATGTATTTTTATAATTAAAAACCAGTATTTGCAAACTGCATTGCAGTATTGGGGAAAGTACTAGGAGAACACAGAGGAAGAGAAAGATTGATGTTGGGGGGAGAAAGAGGACAGGCCTCATGGAGGAAGCTGGCATTCATGGTGAACTGTGAGGCAAAGAAAATTCAGCTGGTAGAAGTGAGGGAGAATAATCATCCCAGATGGATGTATAACAGCTAGCAAGGCATGAGAGCCATATTCAGATTGTCCAAAAGACTGGAGTGGAGGATATGAGGCTATATAGAAAAATGTGAGCAAACAGGGAAAGCCAGAGCTCCAGAATCACCCAGGACTCTTTCCTTTGTATTAGTGTTGAGCCATTGGTTTAGCTTTCAGATTACATATGTAGAGCTGAATTTTAGAATTTGTGTAATAGGATGGAGGGAGTAAGGGGTGTTATTTGTTTTGTCTATTGTCTTTGTAGTACTGGGGATTGAACTCAGGCCCTTGCAGTTGCTTTACCACTGAGCTACCTCCCCTGCCTTTGTATTTCAACTTTTAAATTTTGGGACAGGGTGTTGCCAAGATGCCCAGGCTGATCCTCCTCCCTCAGCCTCCTGAGGAGCTGGAAATATAATCATGTACCACCTTGTGCCTAGCCCAAGGTGGTTCTTTTCTTTTTTGGTAGTACTGAAGCCCAGGACCTCACACATGCTAAGCAAGTGCTTTACCACTGAAATACACCCCAAAACAATAATTCTTATATTTTTAATTTTTCGGAACAGTCTTACTAGTTAATTATTGTATGGTGGACAAAATTTTCTATGGTTTTAACCGATTTTTTATTTTATTTTATTTATTTTTTATTTTTTTAGAGAGAGAGAGAGAGAAAGAATTTTTTAATATTTATTTTTTTAGTTTTTGGCGGACACAACATCTTTGTTTGTATGTGGTGCTGAGGATCGAACCCAGCACCCCACATGTGTTAGGTGAGCATTCTACCGCTGAGCCACCCATTTACTTTTGAATGGCTCGTGACAAGCAAGTAGAGTGGCCTGTAATTGAAAGCTACTTGTCAAAGCCTAGGACCTTCTCGTAGCAGTATCATCTGTTTGTCAACTCTATTTATATACTTTATTTCCTAGTAGGTATACTTTAAAAAAAAAAAAAAAAAAAAAAAAAAA